AGAAGGGGGAATAGCAGTAGAAGAAGAAGAAAAAATAAAAGTAAAAAAAGAATCTCGAACGTGCGTGAGTAATAAGAAGTGTGTTGTATACGTGTGTTTGAGTGTAGATGGTTGTATGCGTGCAAGTGAAAGAGAGACAGACGATGTAAGGGATAATGAGAGGGCGGTCGACGATGCCCTCCTGGGTTTAATCATCTCGCGAAACACCTAACGGCTGTTACTCACGGCTCGTTTCTTCGTTGACCATAGTCACCGAGGGCATATAATATTCTTTTCTTCTTTTAACACACATATGAACAGTTGCTTACCATATATATATAGATGCATACACACATAGTTATTTTGGACTCATGCAAAAATGCACTGACGTCATCGTATGGACCAATAAGAGGATCACCGAGTGGAGAATATTTTTCTTTTTGTTTTTTTTCGTCCTAACATTCGAGGTAAGCCAACCCCTCACACGTCTCTCCCTCCACCACTGTATTTAATATTACTACTTTATAACTCGGTACTTCTTTTGATTAATGGATATCATCGTCATCATTGGTTCAATAAAGATTCTAATCTATCGCGAAATGAAATCTGTAATTAGATCCGCGAGAATAAATCTAAACGTGAATTGAACGTATCATTATTTCAAGGATAAAAGAATATGTGTGTTTGTGTATGTATGTTGTGTTGTGTGTGTGTGTGTGTGTGTGTGTTGTTTTCAAAACACGAAACAACTATTAAGCAAAGAATTATATATTTTTCAATAAACACTTCTCATCACACACGTGAAGATCAATTTGCCATTAGATCTGCAAGAAGAAATCTAAACGTGAATTGAATATATCATTATTACATGTATATGTGTATGTGTGTATATGTGTGTGTGCTCTTTTCAAAACACGAAACAAGTACTAAGCAAACAATTTATTGTGCGTTTATTTTTTCAATAAACACTTCTCATTGCACGAGGATCAATTTGCCATAACATTTTTTGAAAACTTGACGTAGTTGAGAATATTAATCAACGTTAAAATAAAAATGTAAAATCATAAAGTGTGATTGGTGGTAATCCTTTCTTAGTAAAAATATTGACGATGAATCGTATAAAAGTTTCGTGGAAATCATTATTTTCAATATGTCTTATCTTTCACGTCCAAACTCTTTCTTCTTCTTCTTATTATTATTATTATTCTTAAAGTTATTCCATTATCTTCGATTGGTGGATTAAAAAAAAAAAAAAAAAAAGAAAAAAGGGTAGTAGTAGGAGAAAGGTTCGAAGAGGATTCGCTACGCCCTGTCGGTTTACATCCATTTCTACTTTAAGAAAGTAAGATAGGAGTTTAAAATGACAGTATAAAAAGAAAAATAGAACTTATTCGAGAAAGAAAGGAACTGTCGGATGGTAGTAGTAGTAGTAGTAGTATTATTCAGAAAGAACTTCATCGGACGTTATCGCTGACCGTGTGCCGGAAGGTGGTGCAATAAATCATGGAGGTACACAACGTCCCAAAGTGAAAATTATCAGAACGAGAGATTAGAGTAGCGAGCTTTCGCAGCTGCGACGAGACGAGTAGTACACTGTGAGCAAACCCAAAAGAATTTCTATGTGTACGTATACGTATACGTATACGTGTGTGTGTGTGTTTATCTGTGAAAAAGAAAGGAAGAAAGATAGGTGAATGGAATTGGATGCTGTGCAATTCTTTGCGGTCCAGCCAACCATTTTCCGTGTTCCTGATTCGTCAGTTCTTACGTAGCTTGTTGCTGCTGTTTCTGCTAACTCTGGTTTGCTTGCTTTATATAAGCGTCACTCGTAATGGCGGGGTTCTCGCTTTCGATAAGATTCGTGCCGCTTCTTGTAACTGTTAAATGCGATTAAATCGATGTAATCGTCAAAAGTGTGCATTACGCTACGATTACACGTTAATTTGCTGCTGCTCCTGGCTGCTGCTAGTTGGTTGGTTGCTGTTGGTTGCTGCAATACGTTTGCTTGGTTTTTTCTTACTGTAAAAGAGTTGAGAGTAAGGGAGGGGGAAGGTAGAAGGAAAGAAGGGATTTTACTAAAAAGTAGGAAAAGTAATACATCAAGATTAGTCTTATTTATTATTTCTTAAACTAACCCCCATCACCACCACCACCTACCACTTTCCACGTAAACTTGTCGATGTAAAATACCAAATAGAAAAGRTGGTGGGGATAAATATTATTTCTCAAACCAACCCCTACCACCACCACCAACCACTACCACCATCTCCCACGTAAACTTTTTAATGTAAAATACCAAATAGAAAAGTTGGTGGGGGAATAAAGTTGAGAAGATAGTTGGAAGGATGGATTTATGATAGTGTTATGAGAAAGAAAAGTAGTGTTAGAGAACATTAATTCTAAATGAGAAATTCTTCAAGATATCTTATACAAGTACGACGTAGTTATTATAGACACATACACGCATATCTTAACTTTACTTATGGAAAGCTAGAAGAACGTTACTACCTAGCCTATAGGTTTTTTATAAGCTTCATAATTTGCATGTATAAATTGCGGATCTGTTAGAGGCGCCAGGCGCCTCTTATTTAACATACCAACCTTTTTTCTTGTTTTTTTTTTTTTTTTCATTCTTTCACACCGTTCTATAAATTATTTTTAATGTATGACAAGGAGAGCTTGCAACTGACGTTCTTCTTTATGCAACATAAAAAAAAAAAAAAAAAGAATAAAAAGAAAAAGAAAGTTTTAAACAGTTCTTCTCATACGACGGTTTTGAAACATTGGAGAAAATATTTTCCAATAATTAATTGGACTTTTAAGTCATATCAAATCAAGTATGGATGTCTTCCCTTGATATAAACATTTCATTAGCGATATTCATAATCCACCATAAAAAAAGACAGACAGAGAGAGAGAGAGAGAGTGAGAGAGAAAGTCAGAAAGAACTTTTTGTTACATGTGACGTTGTAGTTAATTACTTGAAAAAAAAAAAAAGAAAAGAAAAAATGTGAAAAATATATGTGACGAACAAGGAAAAAAGTAAAAAAAAAAAAAAAAGAAAAGAGAAGGAACTATCGAGATTACCATCTGACACAACACTTTTATGCTTTTTGAACACCATACGAAGACCATTACTTATTCGTAATGGGATTAAGGGCAAGGTGGTGCAATAATCCGTGGCTTACTCACAGAGGGACACAAACGAGAAGAAATATAAAGGAAAAAGAAAAAAAAACTGACAGAGAAAGAGAACGGGGAAAGGGGAGAGGTGACGTTTCTCTCGCTTTCGGCGTCATCGAATGATAAAACAGTGCCCTTCTTCTTCTTCTTCAACAAAAAAAAAAAAAAATCAAAGTCCCTGGACGTATTTATTTTATTTTTCTTGGTACGGTATGTTAAACCATGAAATTGTAATTTAATTGCTTCCCCACCCCCATTTTACTGGAAGATAATACGAAATTGGTACTTGACAGCAAGATTTTGCTTTTGAAATTAAACGTAAGACTTGTAACTTATTAGCTTCTCTTTCTTGATTTTTATTATTTTTTTGTAAAGTTTACGTCTCGTTTCGAAACTACCTCATAAAAATATGTTCATTCTCTCTTTCCATTTGTTTTTCTTTTCTAATAAAAAAAAAAAAACTTAAGACTTAAGACTTAAGAAATGAAAATGTATTGAATTCTTCGAATGGAGTTGTACTAAGGAAAAGTGAAATGAATGAACGCACACACACACACACACACACACACACATATACGGGTGGGTTAACCCAACCTCTGCATCCAAAGTAACTATCGACCATTGTGACTCTATCGACATGACTAACGTACCCCACGTGCCAATAACTATTGCCAACACAAGCAACAAGGGCGGCTCGTGTACAACTACACATACGTAAAATCACAAATAGAACTTCTTGACTATTATTATTATTATTATCATCATCGTAGTTGGTTGGTGGTGTCGTACGAGAGACCCATGAGAGAATTGTGGATAAACATGCATCTCTATTTTCCCCCAGCTACCCCCCTCCCATTCCCCACTCCCCACTCCACTCTACCTTTTCCTTTACACTCCTCCTCCTCCTCCTTGTTCCTCTCGTAAGCCGCAAAGATCGGCGCATTGAGATCGATTTATCTCGTGAGACGTCGGTAGATCGCCAACTCGATTATTCTTGCCAACAATATCTCACGCCTCCGAACTATTCAAGAATCTTACCTTCTAACCAACCACTGCTGCTACTTCTCTTATTTTCTATCTATCTCTCTCTCTTACTCTTGTTACTCTTAACATACGATTCAGAATTGTTGTTCCCAAGAAATAGAAAGAGAAAGATCGTGGACCAACGATGATTCATAGAAAACGTAGGCTACCACCACAACACAACTGACTGACATTGCTTTACTGCAATTTTATTTTACCTTTTTTTTTTTTTTTATTCAATTGGTCCTCGTTGAAAAGATACCTTGAGATTGCGGAATATACCTTTACTTTATGTTAAATAGAAAACCTTTTTGAGATGCTTTGACAGGATAAATATTCGTTTGCTTTTAATGTACTATTAAACTGCTCTACCGAAAGGCCAATGCTTTCCATTAACGATTCAATTTATGTTAATACTACTAGTAACTTTACTTTAAGTAGAAGGGGGTGGTGGAGGAGGAGGTGGAGGAGGAGGAAGTGGGGAGAGGTTTAAATTGTCCATGATATTATATACCTTGTACCATTGAGAATATACTTTAAGTTACTCGTGCTCTTTAAATTCGATATTTATCGATTATTCCTAATTTACATAAATGTCGTATATACAGTAGTAGTAGTAATAGTAGTAGTGAAGCTTTCACTCTCACGTAAGAAGTAGGGAACCAATCGGAAAGGGGATTATCAATATATTGTTGTTCGTTGATAAATCTTTACAAATAAAATAAAATAAAATAAAATAAAATAAAATAAAATGAATTATAAATATAACTGCTAGGTCACGTTTTGCGATAAATCATATTACATATATACATATCGTATAAGCTGATTGATAATGTCAGTGTATTTTGATAGAAATTTAAAAGTGGATCATGATAATAATAATAATAATAAAAATAAAAAAAAWTTTTTACAAGATAACTCGAAGAATTTAAAAACGTTGTCTACGTTTTTTCGTAGCCGCTTCAAACGTCGTGTGTATGTGTGTGTGTGTGTGTGTGTTTTTTTTTTTATAGTGATGCAAATGAAGGTGTTCCCTCTTGTCCTCTTCACCTTCATAGACAGGTAAAAAAAAGGCATCTCTCATTCCGTGTGAGAATTTTGTGGTGAAGTTATTGTACGTTGCCACTGTTTGTTCGGTGACACCGATGTTGTAATACGATAAACCTTTGCTCGGAAACGCGTATTAGATATATATATATACATATATATACTAGAAAATAGGAGAATTCGAAAACAGCCGTCATATTTGCTCGTGTTTTTTTTTTTAATTTTTTTTTATTATACGAAACGTAAGAGAAATATAGATAATAATTTATGACTTTTGTTTATGTTGCTTTTTTTCTTTACTATTTTTATTATTTTTTCACCTTCAAGTTGAGTAGTCATAAGTAACGAATGAAATAGTTGTTATCGTTTTACAACATAACAACAATTGTTTGTAACATCGTTAAATTTTACTCTAACGTAAATTGGAATGGGTCGGGGGTGTAGGGGGGGTGGGGTGGGGTGTTAGTAGAAAAAGGAAGAAAAAATAGTTCAATTTGATGGCAGTTATCGTTACTTTAACTTGGCATGCCACATAAAATAAAATCGTATAGGAAATATCGTAAAGGGAAAGTTTATCACTAAATGTTCGTACTCAAAACGACGATTTGTCTTTTTTAACATCGAACAATAAAGTTTTCTTCTGGTTCGTAAACGACCAATGAAAGTGAACGTTAGGAATGATACGATAAACGTGTGTAAGACAAACAGTTGATACAAATTCAATCTTAAAAAGGGCTTTATGACTTCCGTGAAATTTAATAGGGCAGAAATCTTTTTGTTGGTTTTTTTTATTCCATTTTTATTTGATTATGATTTTTGTTTTTCGTTTTATATTTTATTTGTATATTTGTTTTTTTTTTCTTATCGTTGACATTTTATATTTCATTTTTATTTTGTTGTTTTCATTTCTTATTTTATTTTATTTTATTTTTTTTTTTTTTAATATATCGTTGTAAAATATAATTTTGTAGGTGATCGAGAGTAACGAGTAGTATATCATCGATAATATTCCAACAGAAACTTTTCCATCCTGGTGAATGCGTACGCACTGGCATAATACATGCGTACGTGCGTGAATGCGTGATTTTCATACTTAAAGGTTGGTAGAATAGCCCGTAGGAAAGACCATTGGTGTCGATGCCGATGTCGTTATTAAAGAATATAAATCGTAAATAAGGTGCGTTGACAGTTTCGCCTTCTCCTACGTTGTAACATCAACGCTTTGATGGTGGTAGTGGTGGTGATGGTGGTGGTGGTGATGGTGTGTGGCAACACCCATGTAAAATAGGTAAATGCGAATAAACGACGTGGAGAATGTGTCACCCGTTCTTACTATTATATCGAAAGAAAATTTATGCGAGTAAGAAATGTTCAAATAAGAAAAAAATCAAAATAAAAAGATAAAGAGAGAGAGAAAGAGATAGTTCAAAATGCCGGATATGTGAAAAATAAATTGCACTAATTTTCTATCATCGAAATTTAATATTTCTAATTTATTTTCTTTTTATTATTATTATTATTATTATTATTTTTTTCAATACCTAGTACAAAATGTTAATAACACGGTTGTCAATTATTTTCCCACACACATTTATTATCCTAATATTTTATTCTCATTCAATTTTGAATACGTGCAAAAATGAATTGCACTAATTTCCTATTATTTTTATTTCTATATAAATTAAATCTTTTTAATTTATTAATTTTATTATTTTTTATAACCAAATAAAATATTTTAACAACATAGTAATTAATAATCAACTTACACACGTTTATTATATTTTAATTATACTCCTCCTAATATTGTATTCACCAAACTCTGTTGATAAAGTAGATTCCTAATCCAGTAATATTTTAATATCAAGATGTTTGATTTGTTTTTTATTTTTGTTTTTTGTTTCGTTTATTTTTATTTTTCTTATCTTTCTTGTTATTTACCTTTTCTTTGGGATTATTATCCATTTAGAATAGCCGAGCATTGCTGGTGGCCGAGTTTTGCGTGTCGTTACCCTTGAATCCGGATTTAACGGCTGCGTTTATGCTAATACAACGGTCGTCGCCAAGGTGTTGTGTGCACACGCGAAGAAGAAAACCAAGTGCAAGCAGGCAAGCAGGCAGGCTCGTGTTATTTTACCTTGTGTCCTGAGCATGTTTTCTTGTTGACTTTTATTTCGTTGGACCACCATGAACACTAATGACCGACTTGATAAGCCCTAGAGGCTTCTTCTCTCTTACGAAAAAATGATCTTCTATCTTTATCTTTATCTGTCTTTCTTATTTTTATAGTATCTTGTCTTGTTTTTATTTTTATTTTTATTTTTATTTTTATTTTATTCAACTTCAATGTTGCATACAAGAAAGGTCGAAACTAACCCATGTTTTTTCATATCTTCTCATTTATAAAGATTGGTGGTTCTGTAATCATAGTTAATGGAATTTTTATTCGTAGTTTATCCAAAGATTAATTAATGACTTCGTTATGGCAGTTAACATAATAATAATAATCGTTGACGCAACTTAACTCAACTCTCAACTCAACTCAACTCAACTCAATTCTCAACAAGGAGGAAGAATAAAAAAAAAAGAGAAATAAAATTCATTACGTATCATAATTCCATTACGTAAATTCCTATGGTGTTAATTCGTTGAAATAATGACAAGAAATTATTGATAATAAATTGATGCTAGTTATAAGAAAAAAAAAATACAAAAAAAAAAATACAAAAAAAATGTAGAATATTTCTTTCATCCTTTCTCTTTCTCATACGATTACGTAATCGTGTGCAATGTTGTTTTTAATGAAAACATATATATTTAAATTTGATTATCTTAAAATCCTCAAAATATTTCTTTTGCATATCTGTTAACACGTTGAATTCCAAGCAAGTTTGTCATGTTTTGGGGCCGTAGAGGCGACGATTGTTAAGATTAAATATAAAACACGTAATAGTAACACCGGTCACCGCTGACTTCCTCAGCGCCTTCAGATAAAGTTAGGTTGCCGGTTAAACAGTAACCCCCATTTACAACACACAACGTGGTTTAATTAGTTATAATAAACAAGATTGTCCAAGTAATTTGTTTGGTGTTTGGTGTACGTCTTGAAAATATTTCAAACGAAACAGAACTTTATCTTTTGTGTGAATGTCTGTTTGTTGTGTGATTGAAATCTTAGTTTCTTTTTTTTTTTTTTTGGTCAAATCAAAGACGATTAATTTTACGAGTTATTTTGTTGATTAAGTATACAGATAATTAATTATCTTTATCAAGTCATTAAAGATATCAAATATGCGATATAACACGGACGTTTTGTTTCATTCTTGTTTTTTTTTT